TAAGAGACAGCGGGTGGCTCATTTCTGCAAAGTGCTCCTCGGAGCCCGGTTTTGACGTGACAGCTCGTCAGCTTAGTGAGGTTAATCCTCTGATCGGGTCGGGGAGTGTACATGTCTCTGCCCTCTTCCCCCGTTCTGTCTCTAAAATTAGCAGCCCCCCAAGTTAAGAAGGATCCACCCGTCTCGCTGTACCTCGTACAAAAGCGCTACAGCACAAACCGTCCCGCGGTGACCACGAGTGGATTCCAACACTGACTCTTTTGTAATCATTAACTTGCGCTGTTAAGGGGAAAACAAAGTTAAATCTTTCATATAAATCAATTATTTTTTTTTCTTTCCCAGATCAGAACAAAGAGGCTGCAGCTCGTTATCAAAATGCAGTATTCCCATCACTGTGAGCACCTTTTAGAGAGACTGAACAAGCAGCGAGAAGCCGGCTTTCTTTGTGACTGCACCGTTGTTATCGGTGAATTCCAGTTCAAAGCGCACAGAAATGTGCTTGCCTCCTTCAGCGAGTACTTCGGGGCATTTTACAGAGATGCGTCTGACAATAATGTGGTTTTGGATCAGACTCAAGTGAAAGCTGATGGATTCCAAAAACTCCTGGAATTTATTTATACGGGAAACTTAAACCTTGACAGGTAACATACGCTATTAAAGGGGGAAAGAGAATAGGGAAATAAACCTCATGTTAAAGCAGTATTGGATTTTTTTGATCTCTGTAATAAGTTCCAGAGGAACAAATAGTAATGGATATGATACATAGTAGCAAGTTGAAGCTCATCTGTTTGTATGTTTTAAAATACCATGTGACATATGAGTGCTGAAAGAAAGGTATGTTGTCTGATACTTCATTGATTGATAGTTTCAGTCTCCCAGTCTTTCTGGATCAGAAGGGATTAAATATATTGCGTGATTACTGGGAGAGGGAAAGATAAGTGTATTATTTCTGAAGTTGGATTATAGGAGTCTGGTTTTGCAGAGAACACACAGAAACTGTGTATGTGGTAGAGACTGAAGTCTGAGGAACAGATGAGGATAGGCACCATTTTTAAAAAATTACATTTGTTAGAATTCGCGTGATCTGTTACGTAACATTGTATATTACAGCGCCCAAAAGAAGTCACAGGAAGAGTGTTTTCCCCCTACACTACATTGAATTTTGTGCCCATTGTGTTGCTTCATATACAAGGAGGATTCTTTGCAGTGCTTCTCTCTCAGCAAAAGAAAGAGACTATCCCTCATAAGGGAAGTGTGATGACTTTGAAGTGTGTGGTCCAGGATTTCTACTCCTTTCTCAATGTCTGGTGTCAACTGCAGGTTTAAAAAAACGTTTGTTTCTACTGGAGACTGAAAACTCATGCTCCATAATTTCAGTATACAGATGCAGGGTGTTGGCTTTTTTAAAGTTAGCTACATGGATTAACAGCAGTAGGGCAATGTACACAGCTACGTAGTGAAATTAGTGATTGATGCTTTGCAAATTACACATGAGCAGAAGCGTGCAGCGTTCTTGGTGTCTGTCTGGGACTGCAGGAGGAGAGTTTCTGGATTCATGCTGAGCAGTTGAGATCTCTGAAGGAAGAGGGAGGTGAAAATATTGTTCTCACCCGGGAAGAACTACCTGACTAAAGATGACACCTGCGGGTCTGCCCCTGCACACCCGACATCTTGTACAGTATCCCTATAGGTGAATGCTGCAACTGTCGGCACATTCTGTTGGCTTTTCTGATGGTGGGTGCCTGGGTGACACCAGGAGGGTGTACTTTGAACACAGTGCTAGTATAATACAAGCTACTAAAACAGCTGTTTTCCCATAGAGAGAGTAATTGTGGCTAGTTACTTATTGTTTAATTACATTTACTTTGTAAGAGGTTGTTAGAGGGATGCTGTTTACCATTAATCTCTCTTTAAAGTGCTGTAAACCCACAAAAGCCTTGATGGTGCATGTTGCCACCTTTTCCAGATCAGTTTTTTCTAAACCACTGAGGCCTGTTTTGCAGGAACTGAAAAATCGAGCGTAGTACTTTAAATGAGGACTGACGGTGTTAATGTTGTTGGTGCACAGCTGATACAGAATTAAGAGTTTGCAAATCGTTTTATAAAACAAGATTAATACCCACCTCACAGAAGTGGTGAGGTGAATGCGCTGCTTGCGAATTACTTAAGACTTTTCCCAGAAGGATTATAGAATGGTAACTTAGGCATTTTATTGTCTAGTGTTTTACTCCTTCGTGCTGTGATTTCTGAGCTTTTTGGACCTACAACGCCACATCTAGACTCGTAACCTCACAATTAGACTTTTGACATAAAATTGTACAGAAGGCAGTTGACTGGAAATAGTTCTGTGGACCTGCAGACCCCACATGGGCCGTCGGTTCGGGTGTCATTGCCGTACTACTGTCTCAGGGCACTGCAGCACTAAGAGATAGATCTTGCTGTATGTGTTCTCAAAATTACGTTTTCTGACTGTGTAACTTTTGTGTAGCTCTGCTGTCTGTGTTTCATACAGTTGGTACAGAACAGTTGTTTGTTTTGTCCAGAATATTGTCACCCAAGTCTTGTTTTCTTGCAGCTGGAATGTTAAAGAAATTCACCAGGCTGCTGACTATCTCAAAGTAGAAGAAGTGGTCACTAAATGCAAAATCAAGATGGAAGACTTTGCTTTTATTGCTAATCCCTCTTCCACAGAGACATCTAGTATCACTGGAAATGTTGAAATGAATCAGCAGACTTGCCTTCTGACTCTCCAAGATTACAGTAATCGGGAGAAAGCAGATGTTGCTTCCGCAGAGTTGGTTCAACCACAGGCAAAGAAAGCAGCTTTAGAAAAGAAATCTCCTCAAACCAAAAAGCGAAAGAAGAATTTCAGCTCCCCCAAAAGCATACAGAATAAATCCATGCAATATCAGAGCGATGTGACCGAGAACACATCCATTGAACTGTTTTTAGATGCAAATAAGCTGGCCACCCAGATCACGGAACAGGCTGCCCAAGGCAGCGATAACTCTGAGCTACAGCTGGCGTCTGTGGTGGAAAGCGAAACACTGGCAGCGCAGGATATCCTAGTCCAGACTATTGCTGCGAAACAGAAACGGGGAAAACCTCAGCAAAGCTGCGCGCTGAAGGAGCACTGCATGTCCAACATAGCCAGTGAGAAGAACGCCTACCAGCTGGAGAGCACAGGGGAGGAACTCGACCAGAAGTACTCCAAAGCTAAGCCGGTGTGCAACACCTGTGGAAAAGTCTTTTCCGAAGCCAGTAGCCTCCGTCGACACATGAGAATACACAAAGGAGTGAAACCCTATGTGTGTCAGCTCTGCGGGAAGGCGTTCACCCAGTGCAATCAGTTGAAAACACATGTAAGGACTCACACAGGTAAGCTGCTGGCCTTGTCTTCATGGGCTGTGGAGACCTGGAGTCACAGCCCGTGAATACAGGATTGAAAAGGTCTTTGCATTCCAACTTCTTCCTCTAGACATTCTGTCTGCTGCTGGTATGCATATGGGGATAGTACCCGTATCCTGGTAGCATGAAATGTTTCAGCATTTCTCTGTACAAAATCATAATTTCTACTTTAAATAGCTAGAGAGGATTTTAGTAGTTGGAGGATTTCTGGAAAGACTCAGAAGAGCTGGCTGCCCTTTAACCCTGTAGAGTGCCAGAGTGCCAGAAACAATTGCCAGTAGAGCATGAAAAATTCACTGTGCTTGATACCAGAATTTCTATTGCTTTTTTTGTTAAATCTTAATACATGTTTGATAACAAAAGTGGGGGAAGAAGCAATCTTCTGACAAGTAGGTAACTTCTCCCGTAGGGTCTTCAAAAAGGCAGAGGAGGTGGCTGAATTACTACAGCATTTGGGATTCTCTTTAGTAAAACATGCAGCTGAGATGTGTGATGGTGTTATCTCTGCATTCAACAACATTACCAGAAGTCTGTTGTATCAAGAGCTGCTGAACAAAGCATCAGAGAGAAATCAGTTACAAACACTTAAATGTTAAGACATACGGGAGAAGTACTGTGCTTGTCTTTTTGAACGTTCTTCCCTAGAGATGGAAGACGTGATGCCAGGTCAGCTCGTTCTTCAGGGTGATCTGGGATAGCTGCTCTTCTGCTGTCGCCTTTGCTGCTGTACTTACCCCACCAAGCAGCAGAGCGACCTGGTTGATGTAGTTTTCTTCCTTTTGTGGCTGGCATTTGGATTTCTGAAGTAACAGTGAATCAGATTAAAAATTGTTTAGTTTTGCTCTTTTTCCCCTTTGGAAAACTGAGCAGAGGCCAGCAGTGGAGCTCTTTCCAGGGAGCTGTGAAAATGAAAAGAGGTGAAGTAGGAGGTGTTGAGGTACAGCTGCAGGAGAAGACTTCTTTCTGTAACCAAGGGAGAGGATTTCCAGTGTTGTCAGCCACTGACTAACCAGAGCTTCGTGGGCGAGATGGAGCTCGTGAGCAGTGTTCAGGGACAGTTTGCCGGCAGGAACATCAGCTGCATTTTCTGCTTTTGAGGGTATTGTACTGGGAATTTTTGCACTAGTAGGTAGGGAATTTCACAGTGTTGGTTGCTACATGGCAGGTTAGATGTCTAATACTTTAATTTTTGAAGTTTTTATGTACACAGTGTGCGTAAGAATTGAGTTCTTGTTGTGCACTGCCGCAGAGATGCAGAGGTAGGCTCTTTTATACGGTCATCGAAGACTGCAGCGTTGCACAATCCGTTATGCAAGACTGCTGACCAGTAAGAGAACATGAATAACCAGAGAATTACCTGAAGCCTTCTACAGCAGATGCGAACGAGAAATTAGTGAGCACCAGGCTCTGTTGAAGACCTGTTGCTGTTTAAAAAAGCAGATTATTTACTGGTTGTTCATCTTGAATATTCAGAATTGTGAATAGACATAAGCAGCAACAAGTCTGAAAATGTAGTAGTAGCATTCTTAAAATAATTTGGGGAAACAGCCCTATTAAATACATTACCTTTTTTCCCCAATAGGTAATGTGTTAAAAAATAGTCTGTTATCTGCTGTATTCCTGGCACGTTCCCCTTCAGCAGCCTGATTATGGGATGTTCCAAGATGTTATTTGTAAGAGGCATTAGAACAGACACCTGAGCTTTGGTCAGGTAATGGATTGGAAAGCTTTCTTACATAAGTGCAGAGAGCACAAGGGTTTTATTTTTCACTAGGGGAGAAGCCATACAAATGTGAACTGTGCGACAAAGGCTTCGCTCAGAAGTGCCAGTTAGTGTTCCACAGTCGGATGCATCATGGAGAAGAGAAACCATACAAGTGTGATGTCTGCAACCTGCAGTTTGCAACTTCAAGCAATCTGAAGATTCATGCCAGGTAGGCAAAAGCGAGATCCTGCAAATGCTTAGCCACGTGTGTAAACAGAATAATTCACTCCGGTGAGAGCAAGAGTCACACATTCACATAATTTGGTCATTTCTACTCCTTTTCTCTTCTCTTGGGTCTTCTCTTTCACTGCATAACAGAATGATGACATCTATGTACTTGCTCGTTAGGGAAGCAATTTGTGATTTATGAATCTTGCAGCCTACACACTGGTATCCTTATGGCAGTGGTGTGGGTTTTGTTTCAAACTGCTTGTAGCGCCAAAGAAGAGAGAACTCCTTGGTGGGAAGTGAAACAGAACAGCTCTCACTGTTCACTGCTATCTGCATGGGGCTTTTGCATTTTTGGCAGAAGCAGGAATTATATTCCCTTGTTAGGAATCATTTTATCTTTCAGTACACAGCAGTGCAAAATCATGCTGACTTCTCCCACTGTGTGTTACACCTGCAGGGCCTGTAGTTCTGCCGTTGAAATCATGGACGTGCTGATTCCCAGTCAACAGACATTGGATTTCACTCCATGAGAAACTGCTAACTCAAACCCAAACTCATAGTTGTTACTTTTTTTTTTTTTTTTTTTTTTTTTTTTTTTGGTTCACAGAACATTAGCCCAGGGAACTTTGGGGATAAAGTACTAATTGAGGAAAGTTACTTAATCGTGGGTGTTGGATCCCTCTTGGCCAGGAGGTCGCTGATGTCTGTGTTGGTTGGCAGGAAGCACAGCGGGGAGAAGCCCTACGTCTGTGATCGCTGCGGTCAGCGGTTCGCTCAGGCCAGCACGCTCACCTACCACGTGCGTCGCCACACGGGGGAGAAGCCTTACGTGTGCGACAGCTGTGGAAAAGCCTTCGCGGTCTCCAGTTCTCTCATCACCCATTCCCGAAAACATACAGGTGAGGGGAGCAGAGCCCTGCGGGACCGAAGGGGCCCTGCAGAGGGCTTGGGGATGGGTAGCAACAATCTGTAGATCAGGAGTTGCCTCTGGAGTTGTCATCCAACTCCTTTCTCATGTTTTTTTTTTTCCCCTTTGACTCCAGTTCAGGGAGCTCTTTCTCCCATTGGACATCACCTCTGTTTCATTTTGATTTGTTCTTTATGTGTATTTGGTTTATATATTGAAGTAACAGACTCTTTGTGTTTCCTTTAGGAGAGAAGCCATATATCTGTGGCATTTGTGAAAAGAGTTTTATTTCCTCTGGAGAGCTCAATAAACATTTTCGGTCCCATACAGGTCAGTTTCCAGGCAGGCCGCTTCCTGCACTATAAATAATATTTTACCTTCAGCCTTTTGCTTTTAAAATACACTGTATTGTGCTGTACTTGAAAGTAGCAGTTTCTTACTTTATGTATCTCTGTGTTAACAGAGATGTATGATATATCAGAGATGTAATTTCTGTATCTCTGTGTTAACAAATTTGAAGAAAAAATTTGTGAATTGTTTTTTTCAGACTATGTAACAGTATGGGTGTTGATGTATAATCATGGCTTTGCTTCTAATTTTTTTTTTCCTTTGTTTTAATCTATTATTCTGGAAACAATTTTATTCTGAATACAGACACAATAACAGAGTTACAAAGTTGTATTTTAAAATACAACATTGAAATCCATTATCCTACATCTCTGTGTTTTCTTTCAATTTCAAGATTCTTCTAACTGCCAAACCAATTCTTTGCAGGTGAGAGACCATTTATCTGTGAAATGTGTGGAAATTCTTACACAGATATAAAAAATCTTAAGAAGCACAAAACGAAAGTTCACACAGGTAAGTTCCTTATGCAAAGAAAGGTTAAGAAACTACATCAACTGTTTTGTCTTCAGTGCTGAATAATATATTTTTTGGCTTATCCAGGCCTAAAATTAGGAAATAAAAGGGTTTTGGATAGTAGCTCTCTCTAGAGCCAAAAGCATCTGCTTTAGAAGTACCCAAGCCTCTTCAAGCATAAAGTATACGCTTTAAAGTAGATTCCAGACAAATTTTCAAGCATTTGCATTGCTATAGCAAACACATGTTGAACAACATAAAAGTAGATTGCTGCTGACAAAAATTTCTGTATGTGAATATTTACTTTCTTGTCCTAGTAACTTGTGAGAGCTTCCCACATGAAGGCAGAGTCTGAATTGTAGGAAGTCTTCTACCTCTTCTGAGTATGTCAAAGGAGTAGGTCTTTACGTGGGTAGTAACTGAGGTGAATGAGGCATACTGGTTACAAGGATTACTTTACATCTTGAAACCACATATATTTTTAATGTAACTGAAAGATTTTTTTTTATATATGCAATGTTAACCCAAGTCTGAGCTAGATCAGCAAACACACAGGATCAGACAGCTGGCAAAATGTTCCCAGCTGTGAATACTGCTCTAAGAAAACTTTTCAAATGCTTTCAATTCCTCCTCTAGATACCAGATTTTGATTAGGAAGAAATTTGACATAGATTACTTACCTATGGTGCAAAGCAGAGAGATGTTCAGGTAGCCAGCCTCTTTCCACAGTGGTTCCAAACGCCTCCTGATTTGTCTGTCCTTAAGTGTATTAACCATAATTCCCTTGCCTCTCTCATATGGAAAAAGGAATAGTAGATGTCTGTGCAGGTCTGGAGTGGGAGGGAGAGGGTGAGAAAGCAAGTGTCATACGCAGAGGCAGCTTTGAATGTCAGAAGCTCGAGAAGCCCTGTCTAGGGAGGCCCTGGTGCAGTGGGAAGCCAGGGTGATGTGAGAGCAGCAGTGAGTGTGGAGAGGGCCTGGCAGAGCCTGAGGGGGAGAGCTGGGATTGCTGCCAAGGCTGGTCTGCTCTCATGGGGAGACAGAAGGCAGTCAGGAGAGCCTCAGCGCTGAAATGAGAGACTTCGGAACAAACTTTGATAGAGGAAGGGCCAGATACCTGATGTGGCTTGATGAGAAAGCCTCTCAAGAGCAGCAGCAGCACACTGCATTCAAACAGGAGGGCAGTGAGGAGTCCATTAGCAGTGATTTCAGTTAAGAATAGAAAAGCATTTCTCAAGTGACTGGATAAAAACTGTAATGGCTCTGGCTGGAATGGATTTAACAAATGTTCTCTTCCAGTTTATGGATAAATGATACATTGTAGATTGCTGTCTCAATTAAAAGAGGATGCTTGGATGTGGCTGTGGTTCTTAAGATTTCCTGGGGTGGAAAATCTCAAGGAAACATTCATAACTGCATTTTTTCCAAAGCTCCTTTGTTCACTGTGATGTTAGGGATTTGTTATGTTCCATACCATGCCACATAGAGATCAAGTTGGAATGCAGCATCCATCCAGCTGTCACGCTACAGGCAGCAGGGCATGTGACTCTCGGGGCGTACATTGTACTTACAGCTTGTTCTGGCTTGGCCACACATGGGAGCCACTGACAGCCCAGCTGCCCCAGCAGCCTTTGGCACACAAGTGTTTGTTTTGACAGTCATTTAAAAGGGAATTTGCAGAATTTGCGCAGGAGCTCTTGAACCTTTTTCTTTTCTTTTTTCCCCCCCACTCAGGTTCTGAAACTCCCCCTGATTCTAATGCACTTGATAATTCTTTCAATGAACAAGAATCCATTCAGAGTCAGAAAAGTCCATTATCGGAGTCCATAGATGTGAAACCCTCTGAGATGTCTTTAGCACTTCCTCTTTCCATTGGGACTGAAGACCATCAGATGCTGCTTCCTGTGACGGGTGGTCAGTCTCCTTCCTCAGAAACATTACTAAGATCTGCTGTGACTGGATATTCAGAACCTCAGTTTATTTTCTTGCAGCAGTTATACTGACAGTGCAGTACAGAGCCATCAAGGTAATTTGGTAGCAGACGTTTGGTAAGGTGAACGTAAGCAGTCAAGCAGTCACACTTTTTGAATTGGACTTTTTTTTTTTCCTCTTTGTAAAGACACTTGTAAGGCATTTCCACTGTGCAGTGCTGTCTTTCAGTTTTTGAATCATGCTAATCTACAGTCACATTTCTATTTGCAATTAACACTGATTTCCAGGAGATTGATTCCTTTCCAGCAACACCTGCCTTAAGAATTCTCTGTTAAATATGTTCATATGTTTTGGAGATGTCCTCCCATGTTCCTGCTGATCTGATGTGTCACAATGTCATCTGAGAGCAGATGTTTTAAGCCATAATTGATAATTTATTAATGCAGGGGTATAAGGGGAAAAAATCATCATTTGAATGTCCTAACAAGCTCATACTCCTGCATTCCAAGGTGATACCGTGGTACATGATGGAAGGTAGGGCGGTGCTCTGGTGAGGTCTTGCAAAGAATTCCTGCTGTCTGCCAGAAGCAGCCGTCTTCAGTTGGAGTCTGACCAGAGGGAAAGAAAGTTTTGTGTATTTTTTCCTGACAAGGCAAGTAAAGGAGAGTTAATTTTTTTCTGTAGCATGGTAAGTTAGAGGGTTCTAATGGCACAGATACTACCGGGTATTCTTTCCAACAAGTCACTCTTTTTTTTTAAGTGAATCAAGCATTGTATCTCGTCCCAGATATATTTTTCACATCCCTCAAATGTTTTGGTTTTGACAGAAACAGCAACATTTGCTCAAAAGGAGAGCTGGATCATGCATGTTGTAGATGAGATGAAAAGATGCCTTGACTTAATTGTGAGGAATGAATCATGGCTTCATAATTTTTTTACAGTAGTGCTTCTTGTGCTAAACAGTAGGTATAAAAAAAGGAAATAAGTCCTGCCCTTCACTGTGAAAATAATAACTGAATGCTGCATGAGAGAGCATTAAGGAAGACTACAACAGAGCAGATTGATACTCTTCAAGGAAAGGTTTAGTTCGAGTATGACTGATTTGTTTTAATTAAGTATCACTTCTCATGCTACTTGTCCACAGTAACTGCACAAAACTGGTAACTAGCAAGACCCATGTAAAGGTATGTTTTATTACTAGAAATGTACATTTTTAAAAAGCAACATTTTTAGTGTCTGAGTAGGGTCTTTAATTAATGACTAGTTAACAATAGGAGTACTTTTATACTCCATTTTGCCAGTTTGTGCCATTAACATAATGTAAGCATTATTTAAGTAATCATCAAATAGTAAGGAAACAGAATACTGTACCAACAATGCATTTAAAGATATTATTTGTTGGTTATTTCTTTGGTGCTAGTGTTTTATTTCCACTGATGCCTTGTGTCCAGACACTGATAAATAGAAGAGATAGGAGATACCTCTAAACTGATTCTGTTCTACATGGAGTAATAATTAATCTGCACCTTAATTAAACAGACTTGTGAAACATTTCTTGGAAGATTTCATTTAAATATTCTGCAAATGATCCCTCAACATGACTGTGGATTTTTTTTTTTCTTACATGTTTGTACTTGTAAAGTAATGGCCCTTTCACTGCTTTGTGTTGATCATCTTAGTATGTGGCGTGTTTCAAACTGCTGCTTGATCATATTTTATGATTTAATGTATGGCAGATTTGCTGATAAATTCTACCACAGGCAGCAAAGAGTACAGCCACGTTCACTAGGAACGTTCTTAATGCAGGCATCTCTGACTGTCCACTGGAACTAATTATTGCCACCCCTGCCTGACCTTTAATTTCTTCCCTTATCTGTACACAACATTTATGAATAGCTGATCTCCTTCATAATGCTGGCAAAGGACAACGGATTAAGTTCTCTGCTGTTTTTTTTTTCTGTTAGTTTGGCACTTCCCCTTTTCCTCCCCTCTCTTCTTTTTTAGCTTCTGTTGATGTAGCACCTGCAGGATTCCTTATCCTTGCCATTTCAGACTGAAGAACCACAAAGACTGGGATCTTGACTCTGTGTAAAAAAACCAAACTCTGTGTAGCTTGTCATAAGGTTCCTCTTTACTTTCTCTCTCTGAAAATAGAGCAGAAGTCTTGGGATAGGCTTAGGCTTGGTCATGAATACTGAAAAAGAACAATACCATACAACTGATAAATTTTATATCTAAACAGCTTTGGAAGATAAACTAATGATATGCTGCTGTTATCTGAGGAAAAGTATCTGAAGATAAACACATCCAGAATAAATGACCACAAGAGAGAACTAGCTCTGGAAGAAAAAAAAAATAAATAAAAAAAAAATTACATTCCTACATAGAAAATGCATTCCATAACAATGTTTGTTTGAACTGTTTTTATATTTCTAAAATTATAGCTTATTACTGTATTCTTAGATTTCAGACTTTTTTAAAAAATACAGTGCTTAGATTTATACAGGATTTGTTTAGATACTTATAACAGTAACACTTGCTTTATTAGTCATTTAGTTTTCTTTATAGACAAGAAGATAATCATTATTTTTTACAAGACAACAATTTTAACCTTTCTTAATAGAATACACAGGCTTGTAGTTTTGTCTTGGAGCAATAATTTAGTGACCTGCACTCCTGAGTCCCCATCTGAGAGTCTTGATTTTTATCCTCATCTTTCATGAAGATATCTCAGCTGCTGAGGTATGATCTCTATGAACTGTATTCATTTACTAGAATATAGATTTAAAATATATATATATATATTAAAAAAATATATTTGTAGGTGTGTTCAGGCTGGGTGCTGTAGGACCTGAAGAAGTGGGTCTGTACTGTACCTTTTGCCAATAGATGCATGGAAATCAGCTGCACATCTAATTCCTAGGTTTAAGGATTCTGCGTTCATTTTGGAGGTACAAGTAACAGTACTGATAATTTCTGTAAGGGATTAATATGGAAAAGCACGGAATCTTTTTAGGAGACATCTTCTTGAGACCTATCTGCAAAAGGAAAGTGGGAATTTTAATAATTCCATTAATAGTAATTTAGAGAAAACGACTTGATTTGTCACACCATTGTTTCAGTCAATTCTGCGCTGAAGTCGGTGCAAGTTTTGCCTGAATTACATTATGTGCATCTAGAAATCGCTGAATTGGCTGTTTGGAAATACTTGTGTGAGAATAGCTCCTCGTATGACAGTTACTTCCAAATTTGTGCCTCTGTGTGGGCACAAAGCATGACAGCTTTTCTGAAATCGTCTGTTTCAAAAAAATTTTCAAATATGGACAAGTCCCATGTTTAAGCGCTTCAGGGCTGTGATCTTGGATAGGCTATCAGTAAGCCTTGCAGGATTAAGTTCAGATAAGGACTAATAACTGATTTTTTGGTTAAGTTATTTTTAAAGTATCTTTCATGTATATACATTTTTTTTCCTCTGTTATTTGTATATACCTCAACTCTCGATTTTATAATCCCCTGGGAAAGGAGGGAGTTGTACATATTTAGCCTGAAGTGTTTTATGTTAGACTTTAATAAACTTGCTTTGTAATTTTCCCTCACCTTGTGTCTCCTGTTTATAACTGCAAGGGGTAGCGACAAAAGGAGGAGGGAAGCAGTCTGACATAACCACCACCACACACCATGGCAGAAGGACGCGCAGTAGCCCTTGGTGCAGCTTACTAACACAGCAAGGATTACTACAGTTCCTTCTCGGCAGTAAACACACCTAACTTTTCTCATAGAAGAGATTTTTATGGATCTGTTCAAACTAAATTAAACAAAAACCTTATTTTAACTACAATCTAGTATAATGACTCTTAGGTTCATTTTTTGCCACTTGTTTTGAGGTATTTGGGGTGAGGTTTGGGGGGGGGACTTTGTTTTGGGGGTTTGTTGGTTTTTTACAGAGCACTGAAGATGTACTTTTTATGCTAAAACAGATAATGCATTTTTCTCACGAGTTGTATCTTCTTTTTACTGGATTGTTTAATTTTACAGAAGGTGGTGTGGTGGCTAGAGCACACAGTGGGATTTAGGGGACCTGCTTTGTACAACTGGCCTGCTGGATCAGGCATTTTCTGTCCCTTTTTAAATTGGGGCAAAAATCCTGCCTTCCAGCAAGGTACTGTGAGTTCTGGAAGCTGAAACAATGGTTTACAGAGCAGGGTTATGCTTGCTTTAGCTATCAGAATAATTTACTCAGAAGAACATGGCAAAAAATTCTAGCCTGTGTAAATTCTGTCATTCCAAAGAATACAAGATATGTCTTTTAAGAATTTCAAGGTTTGGCTTTCAAAGAAAGGAAAGCAATAAATGTCTCTGGCATAGGTGTCTCTAAGCAATATAGTTTTTTGCACAAATAATTATTTTAGTTTGCAGGAAGCTATTTATATGAAATTGAATAGGAATTATTCTGCTGCCCTTTCTTATGAAAGAATATCAAATAACACGAGCTATTTTTATGGATATTGTCAATAACAGAGTGCTCATGGGTGGAGCATCTTGCTGTCAAACAAGGGTTCAGACGAGTACAACTATTTCAAAAACATACACTAGCACTTTTCAAAGTAGATGCCATTTATCCAGTTATATTTTGTATGATGATGTTGTCATCTTACCACATCTAAAAATAAAATACTGCTGTTGGTAGAGTTGGGACTGACGTGGTAGATTTGATGCCTTGTTACCACAGCAGATTACTGAATGTCATTCATGCAAGTAAATTAAGACTTCATTTGGGTAATGAAATTAGCCTGAACGGGACAAGAGAAGAGGATATATGGAAAAAATATATCTGAATCTTGTGGTGATCTTTCTGGCAGAAAATTCTATCATCAGTGTCTCAGTACTGAGAGTGCTCTCTTGAGCCTATCAGAGTATAACCTGCAATGCTCCAGAGCAGCAGCACTCAGAATACCAACTTTGATCATACAGGCTTAGCTAATAATTAGAAATTTGGGAATTTTCACAGCATGTAGATTCTTCTCAGACAATCATCTCATTCAGCATATCCTCAACTTTTGTTCTCATTGCTCCGTTCTTCCTGTTTAACAACAGTAAACATACAAGCTCCTCTGTAGACAAGGGTTTTTATAGTGAGGTATGGACTCTGAGCTTGACAAGATGACGGCAGGTTAAGGTGTAGAACAAACTTTCTTGCTCTTTGGGCTTACCTCTGAGTCCTCTTATGATACTAAATGCTTTTTGGAGCAACAGAACTGACTAATTTGTGTTTGGCAAAAAAATCCAAACAACAGAAACCCTCCGTGTACGCCAGCTGTCAGTACCAGCTTGGTAAGGGGTATCCATACATCTCCCTCCCTCTTTCTACATGACCACTGTAGTAATACAGAATCAGAACAGCAGCAGTTACATCACTGCTGCTTGGGTATTATTGCTGAAATTACTTTCTTTTTGTCCTTATACTTCAGTCTTGTAGGTCTTTTGCCTGCATGCACATACATTCACAGATTATTCTGTAACTTTTTTATGAATTTTTAACAGGTACGTTTAGACACACAGAAGATTGCAGTAGTGAAAGCCTTTGAGCAAACCTCCGCTGTCCTGTTTGGTGCCTGGTTTTCTCTAGTTACTGCTACAGGTATGAGCAGAGAGGATGGAAAAAGGAAACAAGCTGATTGATTCCCAAACTTCTACTAAGTCTGTATCTAAACCATTACACAGTGTTTTAACTACCGTTACATGCATATGTTGTCTTATTCGTGCGTAGGAGTTGCCACATGGCTATAATGATAGAAATCTTTTCAAACAGTTTTCAAGAGACAGGAAGAAATAATGACACCAAGTTTGGTGGTGTTTTTCATTTGTAGTACAGGAAACAAGTACATGTTGTAAGTTAATCAAAATACCATTTATATCTGAGGTTCACCAGCTTTAAATTCCAGCATTACAGAGGCTTAACGCTTAAGTTCATTTAATGAGGTTTTAGAAAAAAAAGCCACTCTTGGAAAAAGATCAAAAAGCCCTTAATTACTAAGTAAAAGGAAGAGAGTATATAGAACACAGTAGCAACAAGTGGATTTCCCCAAACCTGGTTTCAGCAAGAATCTTGTTCTACAGCATATCTGATTTGCTGTCAGGCAAAGCTGCTGCCCAGCGGCTGTGCCGGGTGTGTTTTTGTGGGTTGGATCTGGCTGGCTGTACTCAAGGGGCGTTACCTGTGGGCTCCCTGCTACCGCGCACCTGACTGACTGCAGCGAGCACAGCCCCGGAGGGCAGCGGCAGCTCTTCCCCTGCAGCAGCCCTGCGGGAGAGGACCGAGGCTGTGATACTCCATCCACGGCTCTGTGGATGTTTCTGATCCATCTCCTTTTTTAATAAAAAGCCTCATCTGAGAAGGCATCCTAAAAAGAGCAGAGTAGTTCAGCTGCCAGGAATTTGATTCACACATCTGCACTGCTGCAGTCTAAACTCTTTGCGTGCCTCTGGTCAGTGAGCGTTTTACTCCCCATTACTGCTGAGAGTGCCTCACGTCACTCCTAGTGCACTGTGGTGAAAATTATTTTCCTCTGAGCATGTTACTTCACTAAATGTATCCCCTAGGAACCCTGGAACTACAGCTCATCATGGTAAGGAGATAGTGTGCAATAGAAATAACTGCAGCAAAATTAATACATTTTCATATTAATAGGCTCTTAACAGAGTGGGCATTATTTAGCAATAAATTTTAAGTCAGTGGCTTGATATTTTAATGCCATTTCAAGCAGTTTTAGATTTCTTCTAAAGACCCTGAAGAAAGAATATGCAGCAAGTTGGATACTGATATGATGTATTTTACTAGAAACCAGATAGGAAAAGCTCAAGCTGCTACCTCGCTCACAAGTATTCTGAAACAGCTGTAATTGCCAGGCTGGCATTAGCATCTTGGTTTGTCTCCTCCCCACAACTTGGTGTCCAGTAGTAATGCTTCTGAAGGCCGTGGGAGAGCTCGGCGAGGTAAACGTGCCCATCCACTTCATACGGCTCCACGTCGGTACAATTAGGTTTCAAGCGACCCGTCTGAATCAATTCTGAAAATGCCTGAAATTAATAAAACCAAGAATATGACATATAATACCCCATTTTGACTGCAGCGAAGGTTCTAGAAGATGACACATAATGGGAGAATACTTGATCATTTCAGTATGCTGATGTCCAAGTGTCATTAGAGCACCACCATATTATAATTATTTTTAAATCCCCATGGTAAATCAAGTATCTTGTTCACTAATTGCTGTAGTCTTCCAAATGACTGTAAAAACAAATTGGAACAAACAAACAAAACCCTCTTGGAAGAGTTCAGAAGCAACCACTTACCACACAAGTGGCTGCATCAAATTTGTTCCCCCAGATGTAAATGTAGGAAAGTTCTATGTTTGATTTCATTGCACTCGAAAGAGCCACAAGTCCTTTGCCACTTATATTGTTGCTAACTACTGACAACCTAATAAACAGAGAAAATAGTTAAGCAAATCTGTGCCAAACCAGGGAATTCCCATCTCTTAGTTTATGAGTTTAACTATGATTTACTATTATTTTACATTTTATCATTATATATATATCATATATGTAAAACAAAATTTTATATTTGTTATTAATAAAATTTATATCAAGGCCAGCCCTACCATAAAATCCTTTTCAGCCTGCTAAAGGCAGTTTGGACTATGGACTTGTGCTATTTCTCAAGGCATTTCCATGACTCATGCAGCTAGGTTGTTCCCTGTTTGGTTCTTCAGTGTCAGTGACTTACTGTGTGGTGGCCAAGTCTCATCTCCACTCTGCTTTGAAGCCCAAGCCTTGGCATTTATCCAGGCTAAGCTTTGATCTTTGTGAAGAGGCAGTTATTTTTATATTAGTGAACCTGGAAGGCTTTCAGAGGCACCAGGCAGCTGCCACCTCCTCAGTCTGCTACTTAAAACTAATGGCTTCAGGTAACACCTTTGATCAGCTTTTACATCCTGCCGGCGCATGGTTTAATGCGGGCTACAAAATACACCCTGATTACAGCTCTTTTGGGTTCACCTGAAAGCTAACTTAAATGGAGGATTTTCTTAAGTGTTGAAGATCAGAATCAACAAATACAGTGCCTTATCCCTGCACGGAATCTGATTATCTTAGAATTCTGAAAACGTACAGCTGTTTGTTTTTGTCTCTGCACTACAGGGATCCGTGCTTTAAAGATGCAGAAAGAACAAATGAACTGATTGCTTCCCCCCCAAATACCCCCTTAGAATGACTGTAAAAGCTATGAATCGCATGTAAGGTGAACCACTACGAAACTGATCTCAGCACCAACCCCCAAACCCCCTGAAATAGAAGAATAAGCGTATGTCAGGCCGCACAGCAATGGATACAACATGGGGGAAAGGATGTAGGAGAAAAAGGGGGTAAAATGAGTTTTGAGTAGGCCTGGTGGTGTGGGAAGGTGAACACGAGGCATTAGCACAGATCTTGGGGCATCTCCCATGGCAGGAGACACCTATGCTTAGCAAAGCAATCCCACCTGATCTGTCACTCACATTCCCCCACCCACCCCCAGAAGGAAAAAAATGGACAAAAAAGTCTGAAACTTCCCAACTTTTCTATTTTGATCAGCATCAAAGCACACAGTTTTGATGTCAGTTCAGCCGCTGAACAAAAATCAGAGTTTCTTATACTCCTGAGTCGTTACTCCTGCAGTCTCTGGGGAGGTTGTGTAAATACTAACGCCTGAAGAGTCCTGTTGTACAAAGCCAAGGCTTCACTCAGGTAATTGGCTCCATCATCTTCTATTCGGTTTGCATTAAGATCTAGGATTTCCAGAGTTTGGTTCCTTTTCAGTAGTTCTCCCAAAAATTTTACACCATCATGGGTTATTTTATTACTGAAAGAGATGCATACATTTTTCTGAAAAAGGCACTAAGAAAATGAGTTTGTAATGTTAGGGCTAGGTCAATTAATAACTCTTACCAGCTAAGATCAAGGTATCTCAGGCTGGAGTTTTCATACAGTGCCTCACACAGTCGCTCTACTCCAAAGTTTTTCATTTCATGCTTGCACAAGTGTAATTCCACAAGAGAAGAGTTACTTTTCAACATCAAAGCGATATGGACTGTGGTCTCTTCCTAAAAACATACACTCAGGCTTATTAAGCTGTACTTTAGGGTAAGATATGGTCTTCCTTCAGTAAAAGGGAGATGCACAACTAACAACAAGATTGGGTTGTCAGTAGTGTCCTATTTTGAATACCACATTAAAAATAGCCAGGAAACATATAATAAAAAAGATGAAAATAAAAAAAAAAAAAAAAAGAGAAATACCAGAAAGATATTTGCAGATTTACAGTACCGTATACATCCGTGCAAATATCAGGAACATCAATGTTTGAATCGTTATGTCTAATCAGTTTTCCTTCCAGTCATTGCTCTTAAAAAAATGAATGTTTGAGTCCATCTTCACTAACATTAAAAGTATTTTGTCATGATGTTAATCTATTATTTCATAAAAAGAGAGAGGATTGCTATGGGAAAAATACGTAAGACAAAGTAAGTTCGTTCTGAAGTTGTCACATTTAGTTAAGAAAATAATGGAGTGAGTCAAATATAAGGCAACAACCCCAGAGGCCTCAGAAAATGATAGAGTTGAAGGTGGGAACAATGGCAGAGTCTCCCACAGATACTGAGCAGGCCCTTACTGGCGTATATTTTCAGTAGCAGTAGTTTAAATTGACTTCTAAAACCAGGTCTAGGCAGATCAAGCCCTCTCTGAGTAGAAGAAACAACTACAATCTGTTTAAACTGTTAAATTCACCTTTGGGCCTTCGTGACAGTTTGATTTCACCATCCTGCTATCAGGACAATACTGTACCTACCACCGACACCTGACAACTGCTGCCAGTCTGGTGAAACCAGCAGTGCAACCAGCTGGGTAGCCGAGACTTCAGCAGGACCAGCAGGGCACAGAAGCTGTGTGCCTGCCAGCGAAAGCCCCCCAGCTCCCTGCACCTCTACACACCCAGTGGCTGCCCCCAGCAAACACTGCCTTGCAGATTCTCTTTCAGTGCTGTTTTGGAGGATTTGTGTCTTTGCTTTGGCTAACAAATGTGTCATAGGTTTTACATTGATGAGGTTCATTCACTTGTTAAATTCATGCTTCAAGTTCACACAGTGAAACAACAAAACCACCCAGCCCCGTGAATATGGCTTATTGTTGAAGTGTGCCTTTCTTCTTCAGGCTGTGGGCTCTGGCAATTGCCCGTGGACTGCACTGTTCAGATAAACAGACTTTTGTTCTTCCCCTCATTTCCTACTAAACAACATTTCTCCCTCATTTTACTGAACAATGCATGAAACTCTCCATGATGTAACAGCAGAAGGAATACTTGGTTCTCCAACAACAAGCCCTCTCCATTAGCCCGTTATTTAACAAATGCATATGTACCAAGAAAGAATTTTTTTAAAAAATAGCCTTCTAGTTAAACAGGGTCAGCCCATGACTGCACAAAACTTGGCACAGAAAAAGAATATTTCTGCAACCATTTATTCCACTTTCTGAGGAAACCCAGAGAGCCGTGTAGCTCAGATGTCCATAGAATCACAGAATCATCTCGGTTGGAAAAGCCCTCGAAGCTCCTCCAGTCCAACCATTAACCTCCCACTGACCATTCCCAACACCACCAGATCCCTCAGCGCTGGCTCAGCCCGACTCTTCAACCCCTTCAGGGATGGGGACTCCCCCCCTGCCCTGGGCAGCCCATTCCAACGCCCAACAACCCCTTCTGCAAAGAAATGCTTCCTAATATCCAGTCAAAAAAAAAAAAAAAACCATAAATACATCAGTACTGATTTACTTATGCTTCTCTCTCTGACTGAGCTGACACCACAGTCTATTACATACCTCTTGGCTGTACAGTAAAGGACGATTTAGGTTTATTGCTTTGACTGATTTGTTCTGAGTCAGGGCTGTTGCTATTGCTATTAGACATTGCATACCCTGGAAATGAAAATAAATAAACTCTTTAGAGAAACCTGTTCAATGTATAGATCAAGCTATCAAATTACCATGACTTCTTAGAATTGATTGTCAGAAGATCAAAAACATCAAATGGGCTCACAATGGAAATACTGTTATTTCCTCCTCCATGTACCCTGGAGAGATGCAAGTGCAAGAGCTTACAGACACAACGTATTTTCTGGTAATACCAGTGCCAGCTCCCCGTGGAATAACAGAGTGGAATTAGACAACAAAGTAGGAATGACCAGGAAATTTGGCAACTCGGAAAATAAAAAGCAAGAGTAATGCTTGATACTTGTCCATTTAATTGATCCATGTATTTTGTTTTTCCTGATTTATTAAAATGAGCGTGTGTGTGTGTTCCCTAAGGTTTTTGGTAAAAGTCTTAGGAAACATTTATCCACTAGGTAAATTCATACTAAATGTGAATTAATGTGGTACAGAGTAGCGAGAGTCTAGGATACAGGCCAGTTCAGATTTTTGTATTTCCTTCTCATTTGCTCACAAATTTATATTTATGTTATTTTCCAATTACGCTGGTCTACACCCAAAGCTATTTCATTTTAAATCAGTTTTATATCAATTCCCTACCAAGCATAAACACATTAAGCTTTCAGACGAACCCTACACTGGCTACACTCTCCTTGTTTATGTCTTCATAACACCCTTCACAGTTTCTGAGATGTATTCCCCCTTCTAGTTTAGAGGCAAATTCTGTAATTCCAGGAAACAAATAAAATAACCTTTCCATCTGACCCCAGCTCTTCCCCTGCCTCCAGGTAACTGTTGTTAGGTTACAGCCAAGCTTACTCCTTCTGCCCAACATACACCTCTTATCTCCTGAAAAGATGAACACCCTTAACAGGAAGGCTGAGAGTGGCCCATCTTAATTTCACTTCTAGCTTGATTAGAGCATTCCCCAGGAGAGCAAGATACAGGACCACATTCTCCCAGGCAGGGAGAAGAACCACTTCCACCTTCCAGCCCCTCTGATGTGATCACACAAGGACACACCATCAGTCAGGTGCCTGGACCTTGCACTGGGAGGAGGGTCACACCTCCAGCTGCTTCCTCCTGCTGTACCCCACAGGTTTTTAAAAGCCATCTGCAGGCTTTTACTGGCTAGAGTGGCAAGCACCCTGCTTAGCACCCATTTCTACCCTCCTGACTTCCCCTGTGCACTGTGGAAGAAGCCTCAGCACCCAACTCTAGGAGGCAGGAAGTTATCTAAGACCAAATTGGGTGCTTTTCTACTCAATTCCGCACTGTTGTGCCTATGTCCTTTATAGATCCAGCTCTGATAGAAGCAACAGAGCTATGGGACTGAGTTACTTTCAGGCACTAGCATTGCACACTTTAGAAGGAAAAGAACCTCCAGGGAATAAGAAATCCTTTCAGCAACATGAATTACACAGGGCTTACTTCAACAGCATAATGAAAAGTGAACAGCAGAAGCAAATCTTGGAAAATGCAAAAGCCAAGTACCTGAATCCCAGGGACGTGGCGGCTCTAATACATCATCAGTTATGACTTCACAGGTCTTTTATGCAACAAGCCTTTCCAAGTATGCATTGTAATATTATATATCATGTTATGTCCAGCTATCGCAAAATGTAAAATCAATGACAACGGATGGTATTTTCCCCTAATTAAGTATTGTAGTACCTTTGTAATACCCTTGAAAGACTTATGTCATTGCTGATAATTTTACTGGATTACTCACCATATCACAGTCTCCAAGATCCAGCTTCTCTAAGGTTGAATTAATTTCTAGCATTGAGGCAAAGGACATTCCACCTTTGTTTCCTATTTTGTTTCCAGTCATTCTCAAATACACAAGACTTTCATTCCTCTAGACAAAATAACAATTAAAAAAAAAAATCAATTCCTTTTAACTGGCCTGAAAAACAATGCTGTCCTTTTTCCTGCAAATCCTAAGGGTTGTCACACAAAGACAAAAGCTTTCAGCATTGTGTCTAAGTGCTAACACTGACTGAGCAGGTGGCTGTGCTGGGTTTGTGTATGTGGTGAGGTTTTGGTAGCCAGGGAGGGAGCTACAGGGTGGCCCTTGTGAGAAGCTTCTCGAAGCTCACCCACCTCCAAGTTGGACCCACCTCTGGCCAAGGCCGAGCCAATTAGTGACTGAACCTCTGTGATAACGAGAAGGAGAACCTGGGAGGAGGAGTTGGAGTTGGGAGGAAGACACCTCTGCAAGCACTGAGGTCAGTGGAAGAAAGAAGGAAGAGGGGGGAGGAGCAGAGACTTGTGGGGAGAGGGCAGGCTGTGCCCCGCACCCTTGGAGGTCACTGGTGGAGCAGATGCTGACCTTCAGCCCATGGAGGACCCCACGGCGGAGCAGGGGGCTGCACCCGAAGAAGGCCGGGACTCCACGGGAAGCCCACGCTGATGTAGTTTGGGGCTGGGAGGACCCACACCGGAGCAGCTCGGGAGGGGCTTCAGCCCCTGGGAAGGACTCACATCAGAGAAAATTCATGGAGGACTGTCTCCTGTGAGAGGGACCCCACGCTGGAGCAGAAAAAGAGTGTGAGGAGTCCTCCCCTGAGGAGGAAGGAGTGGGGACACTGGCTGTAACCACCATTCCCGGCCCCCCTGCTCTGCTGGGGGGGAAGGAGGGAGAGGAATTGGGAGCAAAGCCTAGCCCAGGAAGAAGGGATGAGTGGGGGGAAGGTGTTTTTAAGATGTGGTTATACTTCTCACTGTCTTGTTGTATTTGTTAAGTGTTGTTGTTATTAGTATTTGAATTAAACTTCTGATCTTTTTCTTCCCCTCAAGAATCTATCTTTTGTCTGTGACCACAATAGGTGAGTCATCCCTCCCTTTTCTTATCTCAATTCTTGAGCCTTTTGCTTTATTTTTTGTCCTTCCCATTCCTGGGGGGGAAGGTGCGAATGAGCATCTGTGTGGTGCTTAGTTGCCCTCTGGGCTCAAACCAGGACACAGGCTCAGGCTCCCCTCAGTGGAATTAAATGCATCGGAGTCCAGAAGTAAAACTTTAAAACTTTTGTTTCTCCCAAATTCACACTCATGTAAATAATCCAGGCAGATATTTCTGCATAAATTGGCAGCTGAAATACAAATTATATCAAAACTGATTTAAAACTAGTAAGTATATTTTAGACAATAATATAATTTTCTTTATTTTTTATAGTCTTTTAAATCACACGGCCAGTCAAAGCTCAGTGAAGCCAGTCGCCCTCAGCAGGGCTACCTGGTGCAGAGTCAAACCAGTGTGTAAATCTTTGCTGGACTGGAGACTTCACTGATCAGAGATATAGAGAAGCCAGCATCTTCCCCCTTCCCCTCCACAGAATTTCAATGGATATGAAATAGCTATTCGACTCTGATAGGAGCCAAGTACCTGAATCACACAGCAACACAGTACAACTCTGTGTACTGCAACACAGAGTAGTTTTGTATTTTTAGTTCTTCAGTACCACTGTAATCACTCATTACTAGAGATTATGATTGATTAAGAAATTACAGAACAAGAAGTTCTGTGAGCAACAGAACTAATAAAGCCTGGTTTCATACTGCTTTTATGTCTTCTACATGGCCCCAGCACCCCCTTCCCCCACCGCAGTACCTTGCTACAGCATCTCCTTCCCTCTATACTCCCCCCCTTCACCCCCAGATCCTGCCACCCGCCTGCTCAGCAAACCCAGCAAACACTGCTATGGGGCTGCACAAATAGCTCTGGGGGTTGCTTGTAAATCCAGTGTTGTACAATCTACTGTACAACCATAGCGTGCTGGAGGCCTGTCAAATCTAGTTGAAATCAGTTCTGAGTTCAAAGACTATGAAGGAGGAAGAAAGAGCTCACATGAGTCTCGTTTCACAAACACAACAAACCTTACATACAAGCCTCATTTCCTTGGGAAACCACATTAAAAATAACAAACATGTTTTTATGCTTCTGCTGTAAGGCAAAGTTTTCAAAACATATCTCAGACATCTTGAATCAAGACAAACATTGACATCAAGGCACACGCAAATTTAATACAATTTAAGAAAAAAAAAAAAAAACAAGGGGAAAAAAATGATGACATTATATATCCCATAGCATAGCATTTTTCACACAGAAAAATCCAGCAGTGATAGATGTGATAATTAAGTGTTAATGGCAGCACAGTGCAACTTTCTCTTGTGTGAAATCTGATTTCTGAAGTCTGCCTTGGGAAAACAAGCAATCCCTGTGATACAGCAAAATGCTGAATGGACTAAAGACAGAGGGCCCTTTCAGCCAGCTCTGATGTTGGCAGGACAGCTAGTACTGTTCATCAAAAGCAAAAATATCAGACTAGATGCCATTGTCTAAATCTCCCAGACAAATACTCACATGGAGTGCTCCTGCTATCAGCTCTGCTCCACTTGAGCCAATATCATTAAACATCAGGTTAAGGTACTGCAGAGTGGAGTTTTCCTTAGGAACAAACAAAGCAGGGCAATGAGCCTTTTTTTCCAGACTATTTTTCAAAACGGAAATGCGTCATACACATACTTAAAATTTCTGTCTTTCACTGTGTTTCAGGCAGCCCCTGATTTGGAGAAGTAGTTAAAGGATGCCAAAGTACATCAGATGATGATGGAAAGGCAGAAAAACACGTAGTAAGTCCTCATGGGGCTTACAGAAACCACCTAGGAACCCGCGTGCTCAGCATGACTAAACGAGGCAGGTGGGCAAGTTCAGATGCAGACCTTCAGGAATTTTGTGAATTTTAATGGCCCTCCCTGATCTCCAGGAACACAGGCACTGAGTGGCAACTCACCATTTGCCATCCGTATTCTGGTGCTTACAATGACAGAAAGGCAGCATTAAAGTCTCCTGTGTTTAGACCTACATAAAGACTGATGATAAAGTATCTACAACAAAAGTCCTGGCACACTTGACACTACCATTACCTCCTTTGTTAAACTGAACTGTAAGCCCCCAAGTTTATTCCATTCTTTCTTCATGACACTTTAGCCAAATGTCCAATGGATTTCTACCAGAAATTAAAAATCTCCCTGGAAGATACAATCTGAGATTCTGGTGGGAAGGATTTGGATGTGAAAGTCAAAATTAATGGAATTTTGCCAAACCAATGCATTCTTGTCTCCAGTTTGCCACAAATAAATATTGTCATAGCCAAATAAATTACAAATTGCTGAATAATAAAGAACAGTTTGGCACCTGGAGGAATGCTGCCATGTGCTTAGCTCCAGCATCAGCCAATACATTACACCTAAGATCCAAACCTGAAAAAGATGAAGAATGAAGAATGTGACAGATGTGTATCTACACTTAACTGATATCTAAAAAAAGAGAAATAACGACGAACTAAGTCTAAAATCAAGACTGCTTACATTTTCTTATATTAACACAGCAATGTCAAACATACACAAAAAAAGCTTACCTGTGACAAATACAGTACTGCATAAGACAGAGGCAAGAACTTGAAGATCGTCACCTGTAATTCTCTGCACAGGCACTAGATGATTATTTCCAGCTATTTTTAATGTCATCCCTTTTGTCCGTCTGCAGTAACATAAAAATGTAAGCACATGGGGAGAGGTAAAATGATAGGAGAAAAATTATTTCTCTCTCCAGATAAGAAGTGTATCTATGCTTGCCCTCACGGATCCATTTGCATGCAGTTAGCTGCATGTTACCTTTGGTAACACCATGACAGATGATGTGATTCAAGCTGTACCTCAGCACTGACCTCTTCAATATTCTGAAGACAGTGCGCAGCTTCGAGACCACGCTTCACACACATCACAGAAAGCAGGAAGAAGCAAGATGAGGGGAAGGCAGATGGAAATAAAGACTATACTGGAGGTCACCTCATCATTGCCTTTTTACTTGCTCCGTTTCCTTTATTTACTATATACTGCACTCCGGGTCAAAACCTAACACAAACACAAACCATTTCCCTATGCTGTATTTTCTCGGGTTTTCTCTCCAAAGGATAATTAACTTTGACCCCAGGAGCATCCATGAGAGGAAGTCCTACCTAGCCACATAATGAGACCAGAGCTGGAGTGGTTAATGCCTTGGCAGGATTCAGAGACAGTTCCGGGAAGCATTACAAGCTGGAAACTAGCTGCATGCAGCTGAGGCTTTTTAAACAGGAGACAAAAGGGAGTTAAGAGTGACTAGACAATGTGTTTGGCTTCTTTAAGGGACACAAAGGCACCATCCTGTACATTTTTCCCCCTTTTTTTTTTATTTCACTGCTTGTAAAGCTGCCCAGAAAGGATATATAGCTACAAACTTTCTGCCAAGATGATGTCAAGATGAGTTAAACCAGAACTTCAGCAGTAAATGCTAAATACGATGTGTTTAAGCCTGAAACTACATAAACTTTCTCATTGTTCAACTCCTGCTATCTTAAGACTTTCAGAAGCATCTGAAACATGCTGCCTGTTATTTCCTTACATTTTATCATTTTTATCAGCTTCTTGGAGCACATGAGCAATGAAGGGGTGTTCAGGTCGGCCCACGTTTTGGCAGACCAGCACATAGTGCTGGTGAAGATCTGGATGAACTGACATGACCTGCCGGAAAACAAAACAAAGTGTTACTGCATCGTTAAGGCAGCCTAGCAACATCACCATGGACCCAGGCGCTGTTGTGCTGGGCTCTGCCTAACAATACAAATGGGCTTGATCTGTAAAGGGTTACAACTCTTGGTATGCAACGCAATAACAGCTGATACAGACAGACAGGAAAAGCAGGAGGCAAAAATGTGGATTTGCGGATGTGTTTCTGATCTGCCATCACACAGGATCGGTGCTGACAGAGAATTAATATTCCTACAGGCAGGTTCTTTCCCACTGTAAAGCAGCTGGGCCCCCGACCTCCGCGGCCCTACCTGAGCGACCGATGCCTGCACCCTCTCCCGTGTCACCCGAGCCACGGGTCAGTTCGGTCCCTCGGCCGAGCCAGCCTGCTCCAAGGGCAAGGATGTTTGGTAGTGGAGGCCGTTTCCAAGGAGGGCGGCCTGTGCCCTCCACCAGGAGGGAGCGGGGAAGGCAGCCAGGCCCAGCCCAGGGCCCTGCAGGAGGCCCCCCACCACCCCCCAGTGCCGTGCACGGCCCTCCCCACTGCGGAGGCCTGGCCGTGTCTGTGGGGAGGGAAGCGGAGTTTCAGCAGCTCAACCCCACCCAGAGTATTTATTTAGTGGTCTGCCCGCGGTCTCCAAGGAGCCTTTGCAAAAATTTCCGTGGTTACGCGGATTAGTGGTTACTTCAAAGGTGCCAGTGCTGGTCCTTTCCACCAAATAAATCCTTCTAGCGACTTCACTACTGCCCCTGTATGCTGGAGGGGGTGGGCTGGGATCCCACGCTCTCCTGTCCCACAGGAGTGGGGCTCACACCCAAGTGCTGAACTCAGAACCAATAAAAACACCCTCACACAACATCTGAATCAGTCTGGGAAGCCCAGCACAGATCTCTCCCTAAGGTGGTCACTCAGTTCTTGCTCCTTGTCCTGGTGGCACCTGGAAACGACCCATCTCTGGAAATGTGGCATCCTCCCGGTGTGGTTACGGCAGCAGAGCATCAGGTGGGAGACAACTGACAGCTGCCTCTCAATCTCTGCTTTGTCTCTTACTGTTCCTTAAACGCCAGCTGAAAGGTTTCTTCTGTCCAGACATCAGAGGTCAGCCAGGTAGTTGCCCCTTCCCACCTCTTGCTCCTTTGCTATCAGCAATAGTACAGCTTCGAGGGTTCTTAAATATCAGATCCACTGGCATCTCTCTGGCTCAGAAACCACTGTTACAGGAGAAGCTGCCACCTCTTTACAGTAAGAGTCTTCCAGTTTTACAATCACCACAGCTAAAGACAGATCTCAGTTAGTGTTTGTAAATATAGGCCTTCAGACTCAAGGAAGTTCTTCATCCAGCTCCCCTGACTTCACAAGGTCACCCTCGGAATTTGGTTCTTGGGGACTTCAGGATGCGCTGGGATTCAAGCTCATGTTCCCGCTGCGTGTGCTGCAGGATTCGATCTCAATGAACACAAGCATCTTTTTGCAGGGGTACAACTGAGACTAGAACCTGTCCCTAAATGCTGAATTCTGCCAGTATTTATTTGGCATAGGAAGGTCTATGAGTACTGTTGATTCTTAATTTTTTTCTCTTCTGAAATTAAAAATAAGGAGCAGAGATGGCTGAGTCTCAGCAGAGCCAGGAGGCCAGAGCAGGGGCACTCACTGCCCCAAAGCTGAGTGCTGGTTTTGTGGATGACTGTGATCACAGACAGCACAAGAAATACCAGTGAATAAAATGCCAGAGAATGAAAGCCTTTCTCCCACACGTGTCACAGACAGGGTATTTTTGACTGATCTAGCCAAGAAGCAACTGTGAACCATCTCACCAGGGTCTTAAGTCTGGAGTATCTGGAAGATCTGCACAGGGAAAAGAACCTGATTGTATCCCCAGAAATACGCATTGCCTGAGGCACATGAAGGTCCTCTTGGATCAGAATGACATACTGGACATACATGAAGAACTGGGGGAGCTGAAATGTCTTCTGAGCTTAGATTTAAGTAACAAGCCCCTCTCTTTTAGTTTGCTTCCAGTTATCTGCAAGTTGAAGTCCCTTTGTCAGCTCAGGCTCTATAAAACAAACTTGCAGCAAATCCCAGTGCAGATCTGGGAATACTTCCATCATGTTGAACTGCTTGGCCTTTCTGACAATAATCTCAAGTGTCTGCCTAAAGAAATAGTGAACCTGATAAAACCCAAGGAAATTTTCCTCCAGAAAATAGATGCAAAAGTTTTCTCAAGGACCTTTGTCATATTGCTGATTTAGAAATAATAGATCTGGAACTAAATTGAATCAGTCTGACCCCAGAAGAGGGAGGCTTTTTGACAAATTTAGTTAAGCTATTTTTAGCTTTTAATAACTTATCCTCCATTCCTCCTACACTGCAACACTGCCAGAAGCTGGGTATGCTGGATCTGTCTCAATCTCCTGCACAAGCTTCCCCCAGGTTTGTAGAGTCTCACTGAAATGAGAGTACTCAGACTGTCTGCTAACAGCCTGGAGAAGTCCCCACACCAGGTCTGCCGCTGGCTGCCCCTTTCCCGTGTTTATTTGAGGAACACTGGACTGCACACAGTACCTGGTCGCTGACAATCAGATACAGGAACTATATGTTCCTTTGTTTTCATTTTTATTTTATTGATACCTCCCTTTTGCAAAATCTAAGTTCTTCCTTACAACTGAGTGCCACCTTTCCCTGCTAGAGCGAGAAGGCACGTTCCACCTGGTATGCACCTGAGCCTGGGTTTACTCATTATCACTAACATCTGAGTACTCTGGCAGGGAGAGAATAGTAAGAATGTGGAAACACTGACCTTTGTGTTGAATTGTAAAGGTGAAATACTCACTGGAAGAATTGCTTCAGTCTTTTTGCATTTTTTTTCCCTACATGCACTGGAAAACAAGAGCTGCATTTGCGTAGAATTGATACGTCAAACTGAAACAGAGCAGAGGGCAATTTAAAAATGGATATGATGTTGTTAATGCCTTTAACACCATTAACATTTGCTGTTCATTTGGTAACGAACAGTGATGTACCCTACAGCTGTGTTATTCTAAGTGCAATGGTATTCATGGATATACTCACTTTAGGGCCCAGAACACACCTTCCTTTTTATATCATGCAATGCTTTTTTTCCAAGGAGATTTTCACTTGTGCAATTTTCTACTTGAAGGTTACATTTACAGAAGTAGTAATTTATGCAAAAGGATTGCTTTCAGATTTCATCCATTTAAATTACTCTCCTCTGCACTGTGCATACAAAGAAAATGAAGAAGCAGACTCATGTTTCTGCTAAGAAATAAAATTAACCCCATAAGAAATCTTTCCAGCAGAGGAAACAAGGTGGATTTTTTTTCCAGAATTTCCACCATACTGTGAGGTATAATGTTATATTAATGAGCAGAATATTCTGTGTTCATCCATCAACAGTAATGCAGCTCCCCAGCATTTTCTTGGAGATTTTCCCCTAAAAACAAAATCCCAAAGATTACTGCTTAACTGACATAATGTAGCTTTTAAATGAGTGTGTCTAGATACATGCAGAGGTGAAAGAACTGAGAAATTTTTTTAAATGCCTTAACCTTTCTGAAAACCAATTCAATCTCTTTCTGAAGCAAATCTTTCTCCAGGAGTCATTAGAGAGATGACACCCAGGACAAAGTAAAGGAATTAAATTCACCAGTCTGCCAGAAGATATCAGCAAATTGCAGGTAGGAGCAAGGGAAGGGAGAAGATCTTGGTCTGCTGCAGCAAGGTGCTTATGTGGGCTTCAGCTGCTCCCAAATGCAGGACTGAAGGTTCTCCTAATTTCTTTGAGTACAGGGTGCAGCATCATGCCAGCACTGTTAGAATAAGAATAATATCAAAACTCAGTGTTTGAAACTCATGTTGTCTCTTCGTGTCTAGTAGTCATCCCAGTGATATTTCAGTTTACAAACCTTACTTCTGCACTTACTGATATTCTCTGTACATTGATTATATTTCAAGCTAAGGAAAAATCCTTTACTTATTAAAACTTATGCACACATGTTTTCCAGAATCTCAAAGAACCGCATATGGAGAATAATTGTTTGAACTACCTGCCCACAGCCATCGGCTCATTGACCCAGTTGAAAATACCTGACTGTCCTAACAATCTCCTTCAACAGCTCCCAGACTCTCTGTGCTGAATATGTGAAAAATACTCTTTGTTGGCCCAAGGACACAAGTACCAGTATTTTGGAAGGAGGGAGAGAAGGAATGCAATGCATCATTCAGGGCTCATCCTGTAATTGGAAAGGAACCAAATAGGATAAAAGGTAGAACTGGGAGGGTGGGGGAAGTGCTGTACCCAACCCATGTGGGCAGGAGGTCCTCTCTCACCCATGACCTACTTCAGCTTCAGGGTCTGGGGAAAAAGATGTTTTCCAGAGCTCCGCTGGAAGCAGAGCCCCTGAGGTGAGAGGCATGCACCAGTGACTCCAGGGCGGTGGTGTGGAACTGGCTCTCTGGGGGTGCCCCCCAGCCCAGTCTTTCCATCTTCCCCACTTTCCGTTGCACTTCTCTGTGGCTGAGATCGATAGCACTGTTGGTGTGTCAACTGGCAGGAATTTAGCCAGGTGCATAGTCTTCACCTAGTGAAGCAAATGCTTTGCTAGGAGAGCCCGAGTCCCATCCTTCTATATTTGGGAGCAGATACTTTGGATTTTAAACACTCTGTGTTCAACACACACATTCCTTACATGCACAGGTGAATTGTTTGTGCCTCATCCACGTGCTGTTTACAGGGAGAATGCAGGAATGTTCCACATCATTCCTGTTCTTTGTGCTGCAGCTGTTCACTTTTGTGTGTTCAGGTTTGCAAAAACTGCTTGTTCAGAACAATCTCCCATCCCAGCTGTCTGAGGATTTGCAGAGTCTTCAGCAGCTGGAGCTGGTCCTCAGGGATGGGAACGTTATGACAGACCCTCCAATTGAAGTCAGGAGACATCTGCCATCTGGGAATACTTACAGGAAAAAAAGGCATTAAAAGGCCATGAACTTAAAGGTAGGGGTGTTAAGAAAGCCACCACAATATACATACAAAGCTGTGTTTTTAGGAATAGCTACGTTGCAGAACAACCTACAGGACACTCGGTGCAATGTAAAAAACATGTTAAAACAGTGTTTGTATCAGCCATGGTAGAGCAGTACTTCTATCACTAATCATGTTAAGGTGTATAGGGAACCATCAGGAAACCCAGCACTGGGCATCGTTCAAAAACCTACCAGAAGGTTATCGCAGCCCTGCCAGGTCACAGTGAGCAGGCACAGAACAGCCCTTACAACCTGCAAGGCAGCAAGGTTAGTGTGTCTAAAACCAGGTCAGATCCTCTAAGGCATTACTTAAAGACAAAACTAACCACAGGTGGCATCTTCACTCTTGCTGACTGTATTTTGACTGCAGAGAGTTGAAAATCTGTTGTGCAAACATATTTTTTTGTGGTTTGGGGGGTGGGTGTGTGTGTGTGTGTGTGTTGTGGTTTGTGGTTTTTTTTCCCAAAAGTACATCATTCTATCACCAGTGGGCTATGGAATTAATTTGCTCAGAAAAACTACAGGGCAAGATGGAAGGAAAGGCAAATCCTCAGTCTTTGATTCTTCTGAACCTAAATTACTCCTCTCTTTCTGTAATTTCTTTGTGAACTACTGTGTTTCTCCCAAACTGTTCTGAACTAAAAAGTGACATTAAAAAATGTGTAGACATAGTAATTTAAAACTCTAATCAAAGGGTCTGGAGGACTACAGTGTTAGTGTCCTCCCTGGTAAGAAATTCCTCTTGAAAAAGACTAACACAGTGTGAAGGTCAGGTGGCTGGCACCCTATTTCAGCTGCAAACAATGTAGTCAATACAGAATTAAAGGGGGGTTTGGAGACTTCAAGGTGTCTGGGTTTTTGCATTGAGAATACCCACCAGTAATACTGTTCCACATGACTGTTTGTTTTTACCCTTTTCCTCCAGGTAACCATATTGTTGTTCTCTCATTTTCAGATAAGTTTGTAGTGTGGGCTGATGAACCAGAAGGAGATTGGACCTTTCTTGACACTTAATCTAATGAAAGAAAGAAAGAAGGAACAGGAAAAAGAGAAGGTTGTGAAAGGATCAAAAGCCAAAAAGTGATATTTGAACAGTAAACTGAGCTCTTTTCATTTACAAGAAGGGCAAATGTGAGCCGAGGTAAGCAAGTAGGACATAAGCAGTATTAAAGCATTTGAATCAATGAGTGTTACAATGGGAACAGATGATTTTTTGAGGTTTGAATTTGTGTTTCTGTCAAAATTGACTCCAGCTGAATCAGGCAGATTCGCCTCATTCTGAATACGTTTTATCTCAAAACATAAATGCAGCTGATGAACTGGAAATTAATCTAATCTGTAGGAATCTGGTGCAATGAAGTGTTCTTTGTTCTGAATCCCAAAGTATTTTACCTGCAATGCTTAGAAATCTGTTTTCCACTTAGGGAGGTACAGCCATATCTAGAGTGAAACAATATTTGTGGACCCTCCTACTAGCAGTTATTTAATGAGTTTTACATTCAGAAGTGAACAGTACCTTGTTTGGCAATATGGAGGAGGATTCCAGGCAGCCAGAACACATGCACTTCTACCAAAACCTGCATTACCATCCTGTCTTACAGAGGTGTAAAAAGCTGTTTTGAAAGTATCTCTACACTTTTGCAAAACTGTTCACTGATGTTTTGACAATCTGTAGTTATAGTATTTTGAATGACTGCAAGCTGTCAAAATCCTTAGTGTTATAGCTCATCTCTGAGATAGCTTAGTGAGCGTTTGTAAAATGTCTGGGTATGACAGGCTTATTTGAAAGCACAGTCTGCAGAATGCAATATTCTGCACTGACTCTGGGTCCTGGCATGTCATAACACCTTTGTTATTCAAAAGAGCCATGACAAACACTCCTTACTATAATTTTAGCATGCCAAATTTATATTCAACTGTCTTTCCACAGCACTTTACAGATAGCTGTTTGTCCTAGACATCTAATGTCTTTGCCTAGTTTTTATTCTGGATCGCTCAGTTACTCCTTAAACTCCTCCAGAGGTTTATTTGCAGCACACAAAGTACAGAGCTGGACTGGGACTGGCAAGTGTGCAGATTCAAAATGCAAGAGTGGGTGGGAGCAGAACCCTTTATTTAGTTTAACTGGGTGGTGGGAACTGCAGTCCTGCTCTCTTCCCCTGCTCTGAGTTGCCTCAGAGAAGGTGGTGGCACCCCGAAGGAGCTGGCAAAGGCAGGGTCACTGAAAGCCAGCTCTTCCTAGAGCTTCACCTCCAGGTAGTGCTCTCCAAATGCTGCAGCTACCTCTGTATCCAGGCTATGGGTCTTAGTTCTGTTTGGCTCTTGAATCGATCCACATTGAAATCTCATTAATATGCTTGTTGGCAGGAGAGAGCTGGGTGTGCAGAAAAGTGGGATGGCTCGGTTCTGATTTTCCGTGTTATGAGGTAAGTGATGCTGTTCTGATTGTTTGGAGGTGTCTCATGGAATTTTTTCACTCTAAGTGAAGGCAAAGAAGAACAGAGAGAAGGATGATTCAGAGACTATCAAGGAGAAAAAAATCACCGGAGGAGAGAGATTTCAAGGAAGACTGGCAGATAGACAGGACATTTAATAGAAGTGATTTAATAAAAGCTTTTTAGCATGGTAGGTATGAGAGAATCATGGGAGGGCAAAGGACTGAGAAGGGGATCACGAACAGCAAGTGGAGAGGTTGCTAGCAGTGAGTCCACACTCTGCTCTGGAGCTATGAATGAGGAACCCACCCATGACAAAGCACAAAACCCCAACACCAAAGTCCAGTTCAGTCAGTAAGATTACAACAGATCGTGGACATTGAATGGGGGCCAGCTGCTTCAGTGAATTACAGAGGTTCAAGTGGGAAAGGAGTGATTCAGAGAGATTCTCACAGAACACAAAGGATAAACTTCCCACTTGAACCAAAGGCAGATTTGAGGAGGTAAGTCACAGGAAGGCTGTCAAACAGAGATGATGGTACTTCCACATTAGAATAACTCTTCTGCCTTAAGTCATTTTTGAAAGTCTCTCGTTAGCCCTGTATGAAACAGGGGCTTGTCTCTTCACTCCAAAGGTTGAGGATCTCTAGAAAGTAACTGATCCCACACTGCAGCAATTCTCTGCTACCTCTGACCAAGACACTCTACCTCACATTTCTCAGAGCTGGGGGAACGAAGTGTGTTTTTTCAACCAGAACCCAAACTGGAATCAGGAAGTCTGTGGAGACCCTCACATGACATCATGGATTAAATGATCAAGAGGTATCAGCACAGCATGTTCAGCTGCTGGTTACAACCCTGACCAGCCAGAAGTTGATATTGGAAGGGTCACCCAGACTGAAAGCTGAATATTGATGTGCATCTGCATGGGAGAACTTGCTGAGAGGGGTTCTAGCAAGTTAGGAAAGTGCCACTGAATGATCCTGTTGTGCCTCTCCTCCAGGAGATTGCTGCAGCATGTAGACATACTCAGAGCTAATTGAGCAGTACTTTATCCCTCAAGCTGCCTCAGGATTTCTCTAAGACTCCTCAGTGGGCAGATCTAATATCTTTACTTCCTAAAATAGCTTACCAGTGAATAATCCCACTGCAGTTTCTGAGATCACATGTGGGTTAAGATGCTCCATGACATGAGTGACTATGCCAGAATTTGGCTCTGTGTAAGCAAACACAACAAAATGCCAAATAAGAATTATCAAATAAAAAAAGGAGGGGCCACTTACACATCCTAAATTGGGGCTTTTTCTAACAAGTCTTGGACACAGAGCAGGGTGCTGTGCTCTTAGCTAGAAGCTGCCCTGTGGCTTTGAATAATAGACTTTGCTTATTTCCTTCATCTTTAGGGTAAGGATAAGAACACTCTCTTTGTCACAAGGTGTGAAGGTTAATGGATTAATCATGAATACAGGAAGCATGAAGGCACTGCAGGGACTCCCACTGGCTTTCATATGCTCTAGATTGGACTCGTAGATCTGAAAGTTTGCTTTTTTTGCTTCATGTCATGAAAGGGTCTGTACAGAAAGTATAGTCTGGCTAAGGCTGAAACAGCTCAGGATAAGCAAGGACATCCCTGAAGTATCCTGAGGTCTTTGCACAGCCTTATCCAGAATGCTTACGGATTGCTATGTATCCAAAACCCTTGCTAGGTAGCAGGGAATTTCTCTGATTTCACTTACCTTGCCCCCGAGACATGCAAAGACACCAGCTGTTTCTTACCTTGATTTTATGCTGACCCTGTATACAGGACTCATCTACACTACGACATTGGCACCAAGGGCCAGAGCAGAGGCAGAACAGCTCCTTCAATATTCTCCTTACTGGATTAAAATACACTCCTGAGTTGTTGGGATGCTTTCTAAAACTCACAATTACATAGATTTAATGCATTCATAAAGAGGCAAAAGCTTTGGGGGAGAAGAAACTAAAATTAAAAACATAGAAATTTCAAGTATATTCACATTAGAGGCACTTTCCTTATATACACAAGGCCACAATTCACACTGCCTGCCTGCCCACTGGCATCCAGCACACTGATACAGAGAAACGATTACTTGTTTTGAGATTTATTTACTTATAGAAAACTGCTTAGCAACTTATTTACTTATTTATAGCAAGTTATAGTAATTTTTAAATATTGCTAAGAATCCTGCTTGCCCAGACTGTTCTGTGGAATTTTACCAAGGACTGCTGTTTTCATCAAAACAAAGCAGTTCACTGAATATCTACCAAGGATTACAATGTTCAGCAAATATTATACTTTTGTCCTTGAGTAACAGGTGGCTCTAACTAGTTAGAATTTTGCTAATGAGTAAAGATAGCCATACACAAATGGCAGAAGTTCTACTGGTTCTCTTGGATAAGATAAAAAGTAAACCGTCTGAAAAACACTCTTTATTCAAGAAATTGGCCAAGAGAATCTGCGCATGCTCCAGGGAAAAAACAAAGTGAGAAAGACTACAAGCCTTCCTCCCAAAGACCCCTGAAGATGACCACCAGGAGGCAATGTGCAGGTGCAAAGATGACATAAACTGCTGACACCAGCCTTTCGAACTAACCCAGCCTTACTCATGCATATGTATGTTCGTGTTACGTAATGCAATGAATATGGATATCCACACTCTATGAGTTTTTGGT